CTACCATTAAAAAATACTTGAACAAAGTCGGCAATCTTGTATTGCTTTCAGGACCCTCCAACAGTTCGGTCCGGGAAAAACCATACAAAAAAAAGTTTCGCAGATTTCAGGAGTCCAGTTTTGCGGTTACACAAGATCTTTGCAGAACTTTTCCCACATCGTTCTCATCAGATGATGTGAAAAATAGGCACGAATCCCTTGTCGAAATTTTTGTGGAGATCTATTATGACTAGTCATAAGTTATTTGGTTATAAATAGCGCCAACTTAATTAAAATAATTGTCGTGGCTGATGCTGAAAATGGACCTATTTTGATAATAAATTTTAAAAATTTTTTGGGGGTATTTTTTACCACTTTTTTTTTACGGTTATATTAGGATTTAGGGTTAGAATTTAAAGAGTATATGTGGATTTTAGCAGGGCTTATATTTTAAAATTAAGACCCCAATTTTCAGTATCAGCCGTGACAATAATTTTATATTGTAGAATCTAAAATCCCAAACAAAAAATATTTTTGTATTACAGAGAGACCTCTCTAAATGCACCTCCCTTCGGGGTATAGTGAAAAATTCTAAAAATGTGCACTCAGAGAGGGTGTACATTTATAGAGAGAAAAATATATAGTGCAATTATAAGCTGGGACTAGATTATACTGTGCATTTAAAGAGATTTTATATTTATAGAGGGTGCACTTAGAGAGGTCTCTCTGTATTAACTAGCTAGTGTTTTTTTTCCTATACACACGGAGACTGAAGTTATTGATTTGTATAAATTGTAAATCTAAATGTAAATTTTTATTGGTTAAAAAAATAAATTACAGAGCATTAATTGAAAATAGAATTAGAGAACGGGAGGAACCGTCGATGTGATTCTTCACCCGGTGTGCAACATATATTTTACAATACCAGATCATTCCGTTAAAACCCTGATGTTAAATAAGAAAGAAAAAGACTACACTGCATACTTCCGCTTTTTTTATCGACTAAGCATGTGGAATTAGATCATATTCTAATGGACATATATCAGCAACACTAAAGCAAAATACTAGTATACTTACGAGGACACTGTAAATATAAAAATTGTGATACCAACAAATGTCGTTGCAAAATTTGGCGTTGAAGTGAAGGGGATCGTATTTTATTTGATTTACAATTTTTTTAGGGAATTGCTATTTCCACCCCTAAAATTTAAAAAGTGCTCCGGAAGAGGTATTGTTATTAAGAAACCCCTTTTGGTCTTAATAAAAGTTGTTCATCAGGCCTTTCTGGTTCTAATGGTAATAAAACCATTAAAATCGGGCTGGTAGTTTTTTTTTAGAAGTAAATGAAAGTTAACTAACTTCGGATATAAATATCTTAGGAACTACTGATCCAAGTGTAATGATTTTACTACTATTAGAACCGGAAAGGCGTGATGAACAACTTTAATGAATAAGAATTAGAGATGTGCGAATGTATATTTTTTTGGCTCTGCATTGCATAATGCAGCATGTTACATTATGCAATTATGGTGTTCTACCAAAATCAAAGAAGCAAGATTCATACCCAATCTTTCTTATCTTTAGACAGAAGTTTACTATTTTATGGTATTTTCAAATCTCATATTAGTTAGCCTGCTTTATACAGGTAGGAAATCACTAACTGATGCTACATATCACTTAGTATTACATATGATATAAAATATAATACTTTATTAATTTTTGTTGCATTAAAATTATATAGTAATTTCTATGTGCACTTTTAAATTTTAAAATGTCTACATTACATTATGCGGCATTATGTTTTGCATAATGTAATGCACATAATGCAGAATGCCCATCTCTAATAAGAATATCTATTTCGAAGCACTTTTTGATATCTGGGAGGTGGCATTAGCAAAAATGGGGTGGAAATAGCAATTCCCTTTTTTTAAGGTTTATACACGTAAAACTCAAATTTTTGAACAAATTTCAAAATTTAAAACACATTAAATTTTCTAATAAATATAACAATAAAATCGAAAAAAATAAATCTAATACGATTTATACAAAAATTTTTAACTATATAAGCTTTTATATATAACGATAAATTTAACAAAAAAAACTAATACTTAGTTTCTGAGATTGAGCTGAAGTAATGTTCGCTTTTAAGTAATATAAAATAGACTATTAAAATGCTATATTAGCAGTCAGTCAAAAGATTATTACGAATTAAATAATAAAGAACTAAGTAAGAAAAAACTTCAGCCATTATTTTAAACTACTTTTCAAAATGCTTATCTAACTCTACATATTTTCTTGTCATAATAATTATATTCCTTATAAGGTAAAGAAAGTGGTTTTAATAGCGGTGGCAATGACAGTTTGATTTTTTTAAAAGTTGTTTCTGGTATATGTTTCTTAAATTTAATAATTTGGTCAAATGCTTCTTTTCTTTTAGGATGATAAATATAACAAGAATGCGTTATACTATGTATTATAGCCAACAATAAGAAAAATACAAATAGACAACACTGTTCCATGTAGTTTAATTTACTTAGAAATTATATAATGTGCCGTCGACCAGCTGGAGTTAATTTTCTTGTTTTTTGAGATGCTAAGTAGTAACTAGCATATTGGAACATCTATGGCATGTCTATATATCTGTGTCTGAGAACAAAATAAACAATTTAGTGTTCAAACTAGTTTCTGGTCAATAATGAGTACTTTTTTGCTTCAAAAAAAAATCTATTTATTTAATACACAATATAAATAGACTTACAAAAAAATTGTTTGCAGATATCTATATTGAATATTAGCCAATTAGGCTTTAGAAATCCCTTTTTTTTTTTAAATTATAAAGACTAGTCTGGACTGTTCGCAAGACCGGTTTCATGAATCATGTTTATCGGTAACATGACAAGGTATAGATTTTTAAAGTCATTACCCGTTTTATGACGCAAGTTTGATTTATTAAACATATATACAGTACACCTTCTCAAATCCGATAGGCATGGTGGACAGCTTTTGTATCGGTTTTGAAGGTTATCGGATTTAAGATACCAATGGCTCACTGGTCACATGATTATAAATAAATATAATTGGCTAGATTATATTTATTATATATCTACTCGATTACAATACACAAAATCGGATTTGAATTGAGCCAAACAAATTTTGATTTATATTACCCGACATCTTATAGGTATCTGATAAATGTCAGGTTACCGGGGAATTATGGAACAGACATGGTGGATCAATTTTTTATCGGTTATAATAGGTTATCGGTTTGGACAGGATCGGTTTTGGGAGGTATACTGCATATAGTTATAGCGCTGGAAATCTAATGACCGATAAAATTTTTCAATCGTTAAAATTTTTTATATGTAAATTTAGATTTGATACTTTATTCGAAAGCCAACAAAATTACACGACTAACACTATTAAAATTTTACATTTAAATCTTTTAAATATACAGTTTACCCTCGTTATAATGTAGTGGTCGGGCTGAGAAATTCTGTCCGTTATAATGAATATCCGCTATAGCATTATATAACATAATAATAAAAATTTTAAATTGTTTCAGAAAATTGCTCCGTTATAATGAGGTATCCACTAATAACGGGGTCCGTTATAACGAGGGTAAACTGTATTTTTAAAGTACACACTAGAGTTTGGAACCGGTTTTATTTTTCATATGTAACAACTGATTAAAACCGGTTTTAACATATGAAAAATAAAACCGGTTCCAAACTCTAGTACACACTTAATTTCTATATACTAAATATGCTAAATAAAATAAATGTTAATAAATAAATTTTTGAGATATTTGGTTTCAGAGATTATATCTTCTTCTCGTCCCAACCACCACGTAGAGGTGTATCTCATCGGTTGGGAAGGTACAAATAATTCGTGGTTTTCGGCGTTGAAGCCAAGGTTAAGATGTTACTTTACCTAAAAAAAAAAAAAAAAAATACACCGAAAAGCACATCATATTTCTACCCCAACCAATTTCTTCTGTATCTCCCGTACAGAAGCTCTTCGAAAAACTGTTGTTACTTTTTTAATAAGTCTTCAACGAAGCTTTCTTTTCTATATAGTTCGCCTACGAAAACCTCTACTTCGCAGTTTTTCAACAGTTTTTTAAACCTCTACTTCGCAGTTTTTCAACAGTTTTTTAAACCTCTACTTCGCAGTTTTT